CATCTAATCTGGAAGATGCTCCATAGTAGACTACAATCCAACTCATAAAATAAACTCACCTTGTTCTTACTCTTCAAATTGATTTGTTATTTAAAACATGAATGTAAAATATATTAATGGTGTAAGATTTGGACTTAGTGAGAACCTATGCCAAGCACTTTTGAACATAAATTAATCAAAATTAGAAGAGCTGACCAAATTTAATAGATTGCATAATTTACAGTGGTGATCATCCAAACTAAATCAACACATAAAGTTAGTATATTAACTTCATCTACAACTTGTAAGGCTTAAACTATATGTATAATAGACTATTTATGAAGGTTTTCACACATTGAAACTCCATGAACATAAAAATATTCCACCATTTGCAATTTTTGTAGTCAATTTCTCATAAGAATACAAAGATACTACATAGTAGCACCTTCTTGGAACACACAGATCCAAGAAGAACTAGAAAAACAAGCAACAAGAACCATCAAAGGAATCAAGTTTGTCTCCAATTCCAATACTGCAGCAGCATTCATGAGCACTGCAATGTCAGGCATGCATTATTCTATTGACCGCAAACAACAGTCTCTGTTTCTAACTGCAAAAAGCTATGCAGCCGTGCAATCCAAGCAGCAGCTCATCCTCTCCCCCAATTTGAGATCTCCTCACATGCCACCCCACTCGAACGCAGGCCAAAAGCCTCCCTCTCTCTCCTTCGACCCGACGGCATCTATCTTCTCACTCCTGCCATGAGGCTTCTCCTCCTCCTTGGCATCTTACTGCTGCCGACAGTGGCCTCGCCATGTCATTTCCCGGCCATCTTCAATTTCGGCGACTCCAACTCCGACACCGGCGGCCTGTCGGCCGCCTTCGGCCCCGTCCCCTGGCCCTACGGCGAGACCTTCTTCGAGATGCCCGCTGGGAGATACTCCGATGGCCGCCTCATCATCGACTTCGCCGGTGATCATCGTCTCCTTCCTCTTCAGTACTTTCCCTCTATGCATCTATCGCTATTCTCACTCGCACGCCGTGAACCTTTAGCCGAAAGCCTCGGGTTGCCGCACATAAGCGCGTTCCTGGACTCGGTCGCCGCCAACTTCAGCCATGGCGCCAACTTCGCCACCTCCCTGTCGACGATCTTGCCGCAGAACGTCACGCTGGCTCGCGGCGGCTACAGTCCCTTCTCCTTGGACGTGCAGCTGAAGCAGTTCTTGCAGCTCAGGCACCGTTCTCGAGCAGTGTTCAGACGAGGTATGTCTCTGCAGTAGTAGCGTGCAGGGAACAGTAGCAGCAATCTGGTTCTGATCCTACCAAGTCATCAGGAGGAGTCTTCGGCCATCTGATGCCCAAAGAGGAAGACTTCGCCCGAGCGCTCTACATGTTCGACATCGGTCAGAATGATCTCACTGCGCTGTACTTCCAGAACGTGTCCGCAACGCCGTACCTCTCAGCTGCACTGAAGGAGCTCTCAAGAGTTGTGCAGGTACCTTCCAACAACTCTGAGCACGTCGATCGTCTCGTTGCATGCATTCCAACTACGGCAATTGTGTTGGCACAGAAGGTGTATGAGAGAGGAGGGAGGTCGTTCTGGATCCAGAACACAGGCCCCTTGGGATGTCTTCCCTATGTGCTGGTCCGCGTGCCGCCGGCGGCCTCACGGTTCGACTCCTCCGGCTGCTCCATCCTCTTCAACGCACTGGCCGAGCAATTCAACACGATGCTGAATGAAACAGTAGCGCAGCTCCGGAAGCACCTCCCTCTCGCCTCCGTGATCTTGACCGACATCTACTCCGTCAAGTACTCCCTCTTCCGCCGCGCCGCGAGTTACGGTAACGCTAACACCACCACCTTCTTCGAAGTCAACCTTATAGCTGAACTATCGAGTTCACATGCATGCGCCATGGCTCGTCCGCTAGCCATGTTCTAGAGATCCATGAAGGCAAAAGGAGTCACATGCTCACCCGTAGTTTACGCACTGGTCTCTTTCTCGACACTGTTGATGAGATGTGAAGGATGCAACGTTTCAGGATTCGAGCGTCCGTTGCGAGCTTGCTGTGGCCACGGCGGCGGCGCGTACAACTTCAACGCTGACGTCTGGTGCGGCGACACAGCGGAGGTGGACGGCACGAGAGTCCTGCTGGGGAAGTCGTGCAGGAAGCCATGGAAGAGAATAGTTTGGGACGGAGCTCATTACACTGAGGCTGCAAACAAGTGGGTATTCCATCACATCTCCGGCGGGGAGTTCTCACACCCTTCGGTTCCTCTGAGCATGGCATGTGGGAAGAAGACGCCCACAACATAATGCCTCTTTGCTTGCATGGATTTTGCTGCACCATTGCATGGCTTTCGCAGTCTTCTTCAGAATAACGCTATGATTTCTTTTTCTTTCTTTCTTTCTTTCATAGATTCATGGATTATTGTCATATTCACAAGACAAAAATTTTGGTTGGTTTAGATCAGATTGGGTCCATTTGAATCCAAAATGCCATATGGGATGATGATGAATTCATGAAATAGTATCAGCAAGTTGCAAGATGCATGTTGACTTTAACTATCCACATGAGCATATATAAAGCATGTGTCACTTTTCTAATACAATTAAAACAAAAAATATTAATATTAAACAAAAAGTACATATATGCATATATATATATATATATATATATATATATATATATATATGTAGTGCATCAAGATTTATATTATATACTACTCAGTGGTTTGACTTATATTATATACTTAATATTAGTATATAATATATACTAATATATTATATATATTAGTCATTTATATTAGACACAAACCTGGATCCGGTTTGTGTTCGGATTCGGGCACAAATTAGAGGATGCCTTGCCCGTTCCCATTTAAGGTCTGTGTTACTGAACAATCCCCGCCTGTTGTCGACTCGGTTAACGTACCTCCTTTGTAATTGAAGCAACGAGGAGGGACCCCTTTGGGGCCCGTCCCTGGTGATATTTGTTGTATGATGTTTCTGGAAGTCGAGGCAGTGGTGCGGCAGAGGGAGGGTTTCGATCCCAATTATCGGTGCGGAAGAGAGATCTGGGAATGGCGAAGCCGCTGGGGCCGACGGGGGAGTTCTTCCGGCGGAGGGACGAGTGGAGGAAGCACCCGATGCTCACCAACAACCTGCGCCGCGCCACTCCGGGCCTCGGTATCGCCCTCGTCGCCTTCGGCGTCTACCTCGCCGGCGAGGCCGCCTACAACTACTTCCACCGCCCTGATGCCCACTCCACCACCCACCACTGACGGGTAATGCGACATCGGCCCCCTCTTAAGGTTTTCCTTCTCTTCCTATGAAGATCCTTTATCTGAACTCTGGATTTTTGGGAAATTGTATAGTATTTATTTTAGGTAGATTCTTCATGGTCTTTTTGGGGATTTGTTTTAAAGTTGATGGATTAGGGATTTTGGTGTCCGATAACATTATTTCGTGAGATGACTCATTATCTGGCTTGTCTGTCGATAACATTTATCCAAAGCTAGTCATCGCTTCCCTTAGGATCTATATGTTTAATTTTCTGAAACATGTTGATTCCTCCAACTGTTCTTGTGATAAAATTTCCCAGTGAGTCTTCCAACTCTTTCTACGTTTCAATGCATTGGTTTGTTCTGTTGGCATCTTCGAAGGGTAGGGCTTGAAAGCATCACATTGTGATGAGACTTTGCACAATTATCATTGGATGACCG